TGCTCCACCAATCCTGCTGTAGCTTGATCCTATAGCTAGGTCATCCACCACGCTTAGGGTTTATTACAGCGGTTCTCAACCTGTGGGTCGTGACCCCTCTGGGAGTCGAGCAACCCTTTCACAGGGGTCGCCCGATTCATCATAACTTTATGGTGGGGAGTCACCATCACATGAAGAACTATTTGAAAGGGCCGCAGCCTTCGGAAGGTTGAGAACCGCTGTTTGATGACTTTTCAGATCTGCTTGGCTTGGCTTCTGCCTCGCTCCCTTTGTTGTCACTCATTCTTCCTTCCCTCCATTCAGTCCCCCAGACGGGCTGTGCTGAGCCACCTTTAGGTGCCACCGAGCCGGTCCCGACTCATAGCGACCCAGGCACAGCAGAAGGAAACCCTGTACTGACCTGTGCCCCCCTCACAAGGGTTAGGTATGAACCCACAAGCGCAGGCCCTGTGTCAATCCATCTCATAGAGGACCTCCCTCCTCATCTCTGCCTCTTCACTTGGCCAAGCTTGAGGGCCCTCTGCGGGCGCGGGTCTCTCTTCACAACACGTCCAAAGTATGGGAGACAAAGTCTCACTCCGCTTTGCTTCCAAGGAATGTTCTGCTTGGACTTCTTCCAGGACAGATTTGGTTGTGCTTTGGGCTGTCCGTGGTGCTTTCCATCGTCTTGGCCAGCCCCATGATTCAAATGTGCCCAAACACAACTCTACACGCTGAGGACCCTTGCAGTGCCCAGAACAGACAGACATCCCCACCCCTGTGGGTCTTAGATGCTCTCAAGGGGAAACGGAAAATAAACCATATATAAAATGAAAGGGAAAGGCAGTGTTGGAGCCTGTGTGTGTGTTTTTTATAACTTGTTTTGAGAGTGTTTTAAAATAGTACAGTGAAATCACTTCCCATTTCAATTAAACTAAAAAAAAAATTAAATAAAAAAATCCCGACTGCCATCAAGCCAATTCAAAGTCATGTCCACCCTACAGGACAGAATAGAACTGCCCCTGTGGGTTTCTGAGACTGTCACTCTTCACGGGAGCAGGAAGCCTCGTCTTTCTCCCCAGGAGCAGGTGGTGGCTTTGAACTGCTGTCATTGCATTAAGCAGGCCAATGCGTAACCAACCATAGCTCGTTTCTTCATTGCACTTAGATTCACCAAGTTTTAATATCTTTCTCCATTTACATATACACAAGGGCCTCTGTGGCATCGAGGGTTGCATGTTGGACTGCTACCACAAGGTCTGAAGTGTGAAGTTACACACCACACTGTAGGAGAGAGAGGAGGCGTCTAACCCTATACTGATTTAGTCTCGGAAACCCACAAGGAGCAGTTTGCTCTGTGTTAGTCTGGGTAGACTAGAGAAACAAATCCATGGACACACATATGTGTATAAGAAATTTATTTAAAAAAATTTTTTTAATTAAAAAAAAGAAAGAAATTTATATACAAGAGCAATTGAACAATGAGAAAACATCCCAACCCAGTCCAAGGCCATAAGTCTGATATTGGCCCACATGTCCAACACCAATCTATAAAGTCCTCTTCAGACTCATGAAACACATGCAATGAAGCCAAATACAGGAGGATCACAAGCCAGTGGGTAGAAAGTCTTTGGGTCCAGGGCGTTGTAAGCATCTCAACGCTGGCAGGGGTCTCTCTGTGGCTTCTCCGGCTTGCGAGGTCTGGTTGCATCTATGTGGCTTGTCTTCTGCAATGTCTCCCAGGAAGTAGCAGAGAGAGAGAGATGTCTTCATCCTCCAAGGAGGAAGTACCCGATTTCCCAGAATCCTCAGGTGAAGGCCATGCCCACACAGACGTCTCATTGGCTATCTCCTGATTGACAGCCTAGACTCCACCCCTACACTCTTCATCCTTACATTGACTCCAGATTAGGTGACTGCCACAGACTGTCCTAGAGGGTCGCTATGAGTTGCAATCGACTCGATGGCAGGGAGTCTGGCTTGGCTTTTTTACAGCTATACATCTTGTTATCATTACACTGTCTAGGCCGATAGTGGTTCAACAGGAGACCTGGGTTCGATTCCAGCCAGTGAGTGCACTTCATGGGTAGCAGCCCCCAGCCGTCTGCCAGTGAAGAGTTCTGTGTTGCTCTGCTGCTGAGCATCTTTCAGGGGACATTCCAGACTCAGACTAGGAAGAAAGACCTAGTGATCTACTTCCAAGCACCAGCCAATAAAAGCCCTGTGGCTCACAATGGTCCCGTCTGCCACTGGTCGTGAGGGTGCCACAACATCAGGCCAGTGTCCTGTTGTGTCTGCATGGAGTGACCACGATAACAATCACGTGTATCATGGAGTTCTGTTTAGGGTACGGATTTAGACTTCGCCTATGACGTTCCTAAGGAGCCCTGGTGGCGTAGTGGTTACGCATTGGGCTGTGATCCTCAGGGTCAGCAGTTCAAAACTACCAGCCGCCCTTCGGGAGCAGACAGGACTTTCTACTCCTGTACACAGTTACAGTCTCGGAAACTCACAGGGGTAGTTTCTGCCCTGCCCTACACAGTGTGGCTCGAAGGCAGGGAGTTTGGTTTGGAGTTGGATGAAAGCCCTGTGAAGCTTACAAAGTTCTGCAGGACCCTGGACAGTTCTTCAGCGCAAGAGTCTGGCTTTCCATTGGTGGAGTGCCGACATCCCGGCCCGGCGCACATCTGGCAGGGCTGTGCACACACCCCGTTGCCCCAGGGTCTGTTTAGAAATGAATGGAAGAGGATTCACCGGTCTGAGAGGATGGAGGAATTGCTGGGTAGAAACGCTCTCCACGGGGCTAGTTCTGAAATCTCTCCACTCGAACCAGAATTACCCCATTTGTGGTTGAAGGATGCGCTGCTCTGTGTTTGAGAAGGTGGAGTCTCCATCTTTAAGTGGCCCTGTGCTTAAGACTTATGAATTCCCGAGACTGTAACTGTTAATGGGAGTAGAAAGCCCTGTCTTTCTCTCAAGGACCAGCTGATGGTTTCAAACTGCTGGCTGGAAGAATCATAGCCCAGTGCATAACCACTACGCCACCGGGCTTGTCGTGTATTTACTTGTTTGTTTTGAGTACTTAACAGGATCTTTGAGTCGCCTTCTCAGACCCAGGACTTAGGTGAGAAGGACATGTCTGAAGGAGGGAATTCCAATGGACCCTTGTGTTAGTCCTGGTAGACGAGAGAAACAAATTCATGAAAACTCGTGTATAAGAAAGAGCTTTATAGACAAGAGCAGTTGACTATTGAGAAAACATCCCAGCCCAGTCCAGATCAAGTGCAATATTAGCTCATATGTCCGATACCAATCTATAACGCCCTCTTCAGACTCACGCAATGACAAAACACATGCAATGATGTTGAATGCAGGAAAATCACAAGCCAGTGGGTGCAAAGTCTTGTGGATCCAGTGGCAATAGAAGCATCTCAGTGCTGGCATGGGTCTCCACGTGGCTTCTCCAGTTCACAGGGCATGGGGTCTATCTGCGTAGTGCCATGTGTCTTGTCAGTAGAACATCATCTCAGGGAGTAAGCAGAGAGCCTCCAAGAAGGAAATGTAAGCATTCCCAGAATCCTCCGGGAAAGGCCATGCCCACACAGAGGTCTCATTGGCTATGACCCGATTGACAGACTAGACTCCACTCCTTCGCTCATAATCCTCTCAAGTTCCAAATTGACACCAGATTACGTAACTACCACAACCATGAATCCAAGAGACTGTATTTCAGTCCATCGATACCCGGGTTGCTTTGGGACAAGCCTCTTTGTCCCTTTGTACCTCAAATTTCTCATCTCTGAAGTGAAATTAACGATGCCTTAAGATGCCCTCGTAGTGTGGTAGTTAGACATTGGACTGCTAACTGCAAAACCAGCAGTTTGAGACCAGCATCCACTCCAAGGGAGAAAGATGAGGCTTTCTGTTCCTGTAAAGATTTACAGCCTTGGAAACCCACAGGGGCGGTTCTACCCCACCCAGTAGGGTGGCCACGAGTTGGAATTGACCCCAGGGCAGTGAGTCTTAACGGTGCCTTATTCCCAAACTGGTCATCAAAATATTTAACAATGCAGAAGGAGGCGTAGCCACCAATCCATTCCTGGTGGGGGATTCTGGAAGCCCCCCAGACCAGGCAGCAAGCCCTTGGGGGTTGGATAAACTATGGGCTTTGGAAACATGGAATGGGTGACCAAGAGAATAGTGAGGCATTCGCCATAGTAGCTTTTTCTTTATTGGCCAATCTGGCGGTATGTCAACAACAAATGGCATGTTGATGGTATGATGGTTAAGCGCTCGCCTGCTAACCAAAAGGCCAGGGTCTCGAACCTACCCATTGCTCTTGGGATAAAGAAGTGGCAATCTATTCCCACAGCCTGGGAAACCATATGGAAATCCTTCTGTTCTATAGGACTACCATGAGTCAGAATCAATTCAAAGGCAATGGGTTTGGTTTGGGGGCTTGTCTTTTAGGGCTATGTCACAAGGGGTTGGTGGTAGACCTCTCACATTCCATGCTTTGATGGCCCTGTCGGGTAAGTGTTGGACTGCTACCCGCAAAGTCAGGGGTTCAAACCCACCAGCCACTCCATGGAAGAAAGCTGAGGAGGTGGTCTGCTGCCATAGAGATTTACAGCCTCAGAAACCCTATATAAGGTCCCTGTGACTCTGTGCCAAGAACTACCCCTGTGAGTTACCAAAATGGGAACTCTTTACGGGAGTGGAAAACTTCATCTTCCTCTCTGGGAAGGGTTGATGGTTTCGAACCATGAACAGCCAGAGACGCATAACCACTGTTTTCTACCAGGTGAGTGAGTCTCCTTCCAAGCGAGCGTCGGCCTGTCGTTTTACTCCTTAGGGTGACTGCCCCGGTTCACCCACTAGGCACAACTTGGACTGCATTCCAGTTTGGCTTCGTGGGGCCTGCGTGCGTGGGGTGGAAGCGGCTCGGAGCCCGGGTTGTAGGTCGGTCCTCAGTGACCAACTAAAGAGTCCCCACCCCACCCCTCTCGCTCCCCACACAGGCCAAGCTGATCGTCCCCAACAGCACAGCCGGCCTGATCATCGGCAAAGGGGGCGCGACGGTCAAAGCGGTGATGGAACAGTCGGGGGCCTGGGTGCAGCTGTCCCAGAAGCCCGAGGGCATCAACCTGCAGGAGCGCGTGGTGACGGTCAGCGGCGAGCCCGAGCAGGTGCACAAGGCCGTGAGCGCCATCGTGCAGAAGGTCCAGGAGGACCCGCAGAGCAGCAGCTGCCTCAACATCAGCTACGCCAACGTGGCCGGCCCCGTGGCCAACTCCAACCCCACCGGCTCCCCGTACGCCAGCC